TATTCTGAATAAAGATAGCATAATGAATTTACACTTTTACAGGTAAAATAGTGTCTATACAATAACAAACAGGCTAAAAACATCAAGTATCATTAATTCCTTGAAAATTGTAAGATTAATTAGCTATCAAATAAAATTGGCATTTTAAACATTTTATCAAACCTCTTCAACAATATTTGATTTGAATATCTACAAGTAAAACTTTATCAATCGATAAACCAACTGATACTCAGAAAATATAAAAACGAAAAAAGGAAAGTGATTTGGCAAAAACATATTTATAAGGCTATTTATAAGGTGAGGGTGATATCAGGATATGCTCCGCAACAAAGTAGGAAGGAAGAGGAGAAGGATAGGTTTTATGATGATGTTTCTGACGAGATTGGGCAAGCGGGGTTGAATGAGTTTGTGGTGTTGTTGGGTGATTTGAATGGTCATGTGGGGGCGGATGCAGACGGATATGAAGGTGTACATGGGGGATGGGGATATGGTATACGGAATGAAGAAGGGCGTAGAGTGTTGGAGTTAGCGGATGCACATAGCATGGTGGTGGGGAACACTTGGTTCACAAGGGAACCAGCGCGATTGATTACTTATAGGTCAGGGAAACATAGATCGATGATAGACTATATATTGGTAAGGGCCAAACATAGGAAGTATGTGAAGAATGTGAAGGCGATACCTGGTATGTTGCAGCATAGTATGGTTGTGATGGATGTGACATCAAAAGAAATGGGGAGGAGGAAGAAGGATAAGTTTGTGGCAAAGAGAAAGACATGGAAGTTGCAGGATGCAGAGGTGAGGAAGGCATTTGAAGTGAAGGTGGCTGAAAATTGGGAGAGTGGTAAGGATGGAGATGTTTGGGAGAGATACAGGGACTGTGTGTTGGCTACGGCAGATAAAATATGTGGATGGACGAAAGGAAAGTGTAGGCATGGTGAGACGTAGTGGTGGGATGAAGATATAAGAAGGGTTTTGGAAGTCAAGAAGGAGAGGTTTAGGGTATGGAGAAGGGACATGACGGAGGAAGCGGAGTCTGAGTATAAGAAGGCTAAGAAGGTTGCAAAACAGGCAGTGGCAACTGCAATGACGAAAGCATCAGATAGGTTAATGAAGGAAATGGAATTTGATGTGAGTTCGAGGAAAATGTTCAAAGTAGCAAAGCAGTCAATGAGGGATAGGAAAGATGTTATAGGGAATGGATGTGTTTGGGATGGATCTGGCAAGTTGTGCATAGATGAGGAGGAAAAAGCTCAGGTGTGGAAAGCTCATATGGAAAGGTTGATGAATGAAGAGAATGAGTGGGATGGAGATGTGGAATCCGCGGTCACACACGGACCTATAGAGAAGGTGACGATGGAGGAAGTAGAGAAAGCAGTTAGAGAAATGAAACTAGGTAAGGCGACAGGGGTTTCGGAAGTGGCGGCAGAACATATTAAAGCGAGTGGGGTGATAGGAATTGAAGTTATGATGAGAATTGCTAACAGTATGTTTGATGATGAAGGTATACCT